CGACTCACGGCAGCCCAGCTCCAGGTTGAGCTGTTGTTCAGCATCTTAGCTGCAGAGGGCAGTGTCACTGGCCCTCATATGTGGGATCCGAACCTGGGTCCTCTGGCGTCCCAAGCCAGCTCTTAACCAATGCACCACTTGGCCGGCCCGGTGGCGTTTTTCTACTAATCACATAACAGTGATAGCTGGACATAACTTCTTCCAGCAATAAATTCAACATAGGTAATAACTTAAATGGATGTCTTTGATGTCTTCAGCTAAGTAGGTTCTATAGTTAGCTTCTGACCATGGAAGTCAGAAACGGGCATTTTTTGACATTGTTCCCTCCCCATGTATGATTTTGACACTTCTAAGTATGCGGACCACAGGACTCTGATCTACGGTGTTATTTTCTATTAATAGGGTTATTTCATAAGAGCCTTTTTATAGCCTTTGTAGATTCCTGATAATATGTATGTGTCAAGTCTGCCCACTCAGAAGTACTTCAGGGAGTTTGGGAGGAAATAAATAATTCATGACTTTTATGCAAACACTGGTCAAGACTAGAAGACCACCTGACTGTCTCTGCTTAATGTTTAGACCTAAACACACTGGAATGAACCACGTTCTGTCTGACGCTTCAGAATCCAGACTTAAGTTAGGCGTGTCCACTCTTTGTTTGCCTCCGTCTTCTTCCCAAAGGACAAACAGGCAAGGTGGGCAAAAATAAGACCCCCAGTGTCACGTTGTCACTTGCAGCGGATGCTGGTGTACAACAGGCCGTTGGGAGGTCCAGGCAACGCCCAGAGAGCAAACCCTGTTGAGGGTGGCAGGGGGCCCCCCAGGCTCTGCAGACATTTCCCGGGGCTTCAGGTGGTCCTGCCGCATGGTATGCAGATAGAGGAGAGTCTGACTCAGGACCGGAGGCAGGACAGGGGATGGGGACACCTGGGCAGTGATGAAATCACACTTTCCGTGAAAGAAGCCTCTCCTCCCATGCAGAGAACACTTCCGGGAGCATGGTGGAAAGAGTTCATTTGTGCTGGCACAGCCACAGTGGGTGTCAGTCCCTGCTGGGTGGCGCGCAGCCTCTTAGAGTTGTCCTTGTTCTCTCATGAAAACATAGATCCTTTTCAATGCAAAATTGTGTTAATTGACATTTCCATTGTGCTGTTTTCTTTCCTTCCCTTCTGCTCCCTCTGTGATTAATGATTACTAACTTACTGAAATCAAATTGTAACTAGGACAAAGATTTTTTGTTTCTTACTAGTAGCACTGTAAGTAGTAGTGACGCTTCTTAATTGACCAATAGAGTGTCCTGTAAATCTTTTCTGAAATACTCACTTAACATTCCATTTATTTTTTAATTTTTAGTTTTTATAATTTTAAGGCATGGCTAGTCAGTTAGGAACTGAGACATTTAGGATTAATAAAATATGGGTTGTTTTCTCGAAGTGTTCACAGGAAAGAGAGGAACAAATCAAAACATTACAGGAAAAGATCACTGAGATACAGAAATGTGCTCAGGAACAACTTGACGAGAAATCCTCGCAACTGGATAACATAATTGACAAACTAGAAAGACACAATGAAAGGAAAGAAAAGCTAAAGCAGCAGTTGCAAGTAAAGGAATTAGAACTTGAAGAAATCAGAAAAGCTTACAGGTATTTTACGGCACTCCTTTTGAGAAGTAAAATGACTTAATGATTTCGTATTTTATTTCTAACATCATTTCTTCTCATATTTAGTACACTTAATCAGAAGTGGCATGATAAAGGAGAACTTCTATGTAATCTTGAAATGCAAGTAAAAGAAGTGAAAGAAAAATTTGAAAACAAGGAAAGGAAACTTAAAGCGGAAAGAGACAAAAATATTGAACTACAAAAGTAAGTATGACGTCCTGAAGGATGTGGGCAGTCTCTAAACAGAAACGCTGGACTGTGATGGGTGAGCTGTGTCCAGGGAAGGAGGGAGGGCGGGCTGAATACATGCTGCACATAGCTTTTCGCCAAACGCATTTCCACTCCTTTATTCCATCTTTAAAATGAAGAGACTAGTTCCAGCCTTCAGCGTTTGATGTGAGGTATTAAATTGTGTGTGTGTGTGAATTTATGTATGAGCACAGAGCCTGACGTATAGCAGTTGCTATGAAGTTGCTGTGACTGATGGTTGTCACGCGGTTGGATTGACAGTGGCTAGTGGTGTTTGGGCTTGTGGATGTGAGAGGAAGTCCCTTGACTCCTCGGGGCGCTCAGTACCCCCGGGGCAGCTGGAGCAGGTGTAGGCTGCTGCCGACCTGCACATGCCGGCCCTGGGAGCCGATTGTAAAGAAAGGGAGGAAAACGCGTTCCTGGATTTTGTCAAACACTAGAGCAAATGAAGGCTTTACCTTGCAAACTATACAACTACACTTGTTAAAACATTTCTAAGTCGACTGCCTTGTAAAACATAAAAAGCAGTTCCTAAACTGCCATTGGCGTTACCCTCCCCTTCCTGTCCGATGCTTAACTACTTGTTTCTTGAGTTACCAAACACAGCCCTTTGCTATTTGATGGACTTCTGCCTTCGTTAAAATACGAACGTGAGAAAAAACACCCTGACTTTTCACACACAGATACGTGGCTTTTGCTTTGTTTCTAAGGGATGCGATGGAAAAGCTTCATAGTATGGATGATGCCTTTAAAAAACAAATTGATGCAATTGTTCAAGCTCATCAAGCTGAAATAATGCAACTGGCAAGTGAAAAGCAGAAATACATTGATTCTGCAAATTTAAAGGTACTGTAAGTAAAATGCACTTTATCAGCTAAATAAATGGAGAATTCTAAAGAGAAAAGTCAGTGTGATTTAATGACCAAATAGATACGAAGACTGTTGCCAAAACTCTCAGGAAGCCAAAATGTTGGTAATGCTTAGATTGGTGTAGAGTGTATTCCAACAGCCTAAATGGTAAGTTTGATCCTGGTATTCACCTGCCCGTGGTCTCTGGATAAAAAGTGCCGCCTTCCTGGCCGGCCAGTCTCAAACGGAGGCCCCTGGCTAACACAGATGGGGTGAGACTGAACGCACCAGACACGACCCGTCACTACCCGGGAAGGTCTCAGGAGCAGTATAATAATTAGGGCTCAGGCCTGCCAAGTGTGTCGGTGTGATGGCCTTGACAAAGGAGCGAGTGGAGAGTAGTGCCAAATCGGAGTGGACATCAGAGCCCCCTGTGGAGCGTTCTAATCATGCCCAGGCATGAACCGCCCTGAGATTTTCATGCACTGAGTGTGGGCTCAGACCCCCGTATTTTTAAAGCTTGCAGGTGATTCTGACGTGACCCCTCTGTTGAGATCCACTAGCTGAGGGGAGAGTTGTGAAATGCCATTTTTCCCTGATTTTGAAGTGGCATAAACAGTAACCCCCCCGACGCACACCTGTAGCTTCACTGTCCGAGGTTTCCATTACCTGCAGTCAACCGCAATTCAAAATTATTAAATGGGAAATTCCTAAGTTTTAAATTGCGCCGCCTTCTTAGCAGCGTGATGGAATCCATCCCACCTGTCCTGCCCGGGACGTGGCTCATCCCTTTGCCCATCTGGCCCTTAGTAGCCACCTCGGTTATAGATCGACTGTCTGCCACAGTGCTTGTGCTCAAGTGACATTTACTGTACCCATAACGGCCCCAAAGCGCGAGAGTACTACTGCTCGCAACTCGGGTACGCTTGGAGGAGCCGTACAGGGCTTCCTAGAAGCGGAAAGGTGAACACTCTGGACTTACCAAAGAAAAAACCGTATGCTGAGGTTGCTAACATCTGTGGTAAGAACAAACCTCTTGTGAAGAAGGGAAAAGGAGTTCGTGCTAGCTTTCCATTGTACCTCATACTGCAACAGGTACTGCCCCGGGGTGTGATAGTGAGATGGGAACAGAAAATGTTCCGTTGACGGCACCCTGTGGTGTCAGAAACCATTGGGCCTATACGGGGACGTCAACAGGGGGCTCCCTGAAACGCGTGACAGCAAAGCATTTCCTGCCAGTGGGGGACAGTTAACAGATGCAGGAGCAGGTTTGCGTTTTCTTGTCTCACATCATCCCAAGAATTAGAAGGGTGAGTACAGTACCCTAAGATGTTTAGAGAGCGAGACCACGTACCTTATTATAGTATATTATTATAATAATTCTATTTTCTTAGCAGTTATTGTTATAAATCTCTCACTGTGCCTGGTTTATAAATTAAACTTGACCGTAGGTGTGTGTGTATAGGGAAGACATAGCATAAGGTTTGGTACCATCTGCAGTTTCAGACATCCACTGGGGGTCTCGGAACGTGTCCCCTGCAGGTGGGGGGGACGACTTTAAGACGGGAGATTCAGAATCAGCTGGAAAAGAGCAACAAAAGGGAAAGTAATACTGCATATGATTATAATCCAGGTTGTGTGACCCCCTCAGGAGAAAGACGGATAAGGGCTTCGGAAATAATGACAAAGAATAAGCAAGTGTAACTTGTTCAGAAATTCAGTTCTTTATTTCCAGTCCACAGATGTTTCAGGTGTTTTATTTAAAATCTACTGAGTTTTTTTCCAGAGCACATCAGGTACTACTAAATAAAGTATAAGAGCAGGCCCTTAGCTGGAAGGAAAACCCTGAGTCCAGCATTGGACCTCCTGCCAATGTGATGTAATATCTCTCAGGAGTTAGAGAAACAGCATCAGAGCTTAAATATGACCGGGAAAAAAACTGAGGCATCACAGAGAGGTGACAGTTACCGTGAAAAGAAATGGTAGCTTTCTGAGGGAGAAGGATTAGGAAATGTGTATCAGATTGGGAAGGCGGAAGGAACCAGACAGGGGCGGTTTGGCAGCATTGTAGGACAGTTTCGAGCAGAAGGGAACATCAGACAGAATCCGGGGAGGGTGTGGGCTGGCAGGAAAGGAGGAAATCTCTCAGAAAGATGCTTATGTCCATCCACCACCAGCACCTTTAGAAATGCAGTCGGGACTCAAGGACAGAGAACCTTTGGGAAGGGAGGACATCGGGTCTGGGAGGGCCTGGTGTTGAAGGTGAGCCACGTGTTCATCACGAGCGCCTTTGAGAAATACATAGATCATATGCATGTCAGTACTTGGTACATGCATAACTGTTTTCCCAGTCAGTACTTGAATAGGTTACACTTTACTAACCTCTTTGCTTTAAATGAATGTCACAAATTACAAAATGCGTAAGAATACATTTTTGGCTCTTTCAAAATGCATTTTAAAATAATTTTATTTAAGAAATTTAAATGTAAAATTTACATGTTGATTTAGGTTTATCAAGTTGAAGAAGAAATGCGTGGACTTCTGCAAGAAACATGTAAGAACAAAAAAGCAATGGAAACAAAAATTAAGCAGCTTGCTTTTGCTCTAAATGAAATTCAGCAAGATATGTGAGAGTTCTGAGAACAAATTTAATTGAAATGGACCAGCAGACCTATTGTAAAAATGATTAAATATTGTAATAGTAGTAACTGCTACGACTTTGAAATGTCTCTTTGTACACATTTCATTCTAATTATATTTAAAACTTTTGATAAAGTATTGTATATGTAGGTTTTTATAATAAATTGTTGATATTTATGTGTATTAGAAAAACCTATCAAAATAACTAGACTTAAGACACTTTTTCTTGTTTCTGTGCTATATACATTGTTTGGTAATTACACATTTGCCTATGAATATGTGAATGAAAATTAGGATTAGCATTTGACTATAGTGGGGAAAGTATTTTAATGATTGTTATTGTCTTGATGAAGAACTAATTATATTTATTGGTTGTCCTTTAGTTGATGTAGCTCCATTCTTTTAAAATGCTCATAAGTGTAGCCATCTCCACCTCCCTTATATAATGGCCCTTTTTTATAATGCATATGACTTTTCATTAAAGATTACATTTAAAGTTATAGAAACATCCTCTGTTCCTCAAGAGGAACAGTGCTGTTCTACCCTCATTTTCTCATTTTCCATTTTAATCACTGTATATATAGAGAATTCTTATCTTGTAACTGGCAACAGTTTTCTTACATATCAGGTCATTTATTAGCACTTCACTTTTGTCATCTCTTATGTTCCCATGTATGCAGAACGAAAACCCAAATACTGTTCTCCTGTTTCTAAAAGAATATAATACCATGGTTTCAACTAATAGCCAGTGAACTAACTTTTAAAAATTAAATGGAATCAGGAAAAATGTAAATGCTTCTAAAGCAGCGATGCGTTTCATGCTAGGCAAGCTTCATACTGAAATCTGCTGAGAGCGTTGAGCATCCCAACACGTGATGGGGGAGGGGGGCGTAAGGTAGATCTCAAAAAAATAATAGCCGAGTACTTTAGAAATTTGATGAAAAAGATCAACCTACAGATCGAAGAACTTCAGTTAGACCCAGGATAAACACGAGAACGACACCTAGACACTTTACAGTCAAACTGTTGGGGAAACCTCGAAAGCTACAAGAAATTAGGGTTTATCTCATAGAGGAGCAATATAATTAAGTTGACTTCAAATCAGAAACAGTGGAGCCCAGAGGCAGTGGAGGACATATTTGAAGTCTGGCAAGAAAAGGAGCTGTCACTCAAGGATTCTACATCCAGGAAAACTATCCTTCAAAGTAAAGGCATTCCCAGACAAAGTTTATTGCTAGCCAACTACCTGAAACATGTTAAAAGAGCCGTAGAGGCTGAAAGGAAATGATATCAATAACTCAAATCCACTGGAAGAAATAAATACTGGAAACGTAAGTTTTTATATGAGACTATAAATATATTTTTCTTCCATTAGAAGACATAAAGCAATTGTAACACTTGAATTTATAGTGTGTACGGATGTGATGGTGTACAAAAACAGGAACTTGGGGGAGGGAAATAACAGCTGTAGTGTAGTAGCTTGTTACCAAAGTAAGTTAACACTAAGCTAAAGGGACTAACATGCGGATCGTAGTCCCTAGAACAGCCACTAGGAAAAGAACCCAAAAATTATAGTTAAAAATCACAGTGGGTTCCACCTCTGGAATGGCAGCACAAGCAACTCTGTGGACCTATTTCCCACCAAAACAAACATAACTGGCAAAAAATTATTTGAAAACACCCAGTTAAAGTCTCTGAAATCTGGCCTAAGAGCAGCAAATTTATTCAAAATGTACTGAATCTCAGAACAGCAAAAGCCTGTAGCTCGGAGCCACAGCCGTGCCCCATGGCTCCCAGGTCAGCCTGATGGGAATGCCAGGGTGGACGGTTGTGGCCGAGAGACAGGTTCCCTCCGCCCCGCCCCCCGCCTCACCGGGCTGGGCAGGCGCACAGCCTCTCTCATCCCCTCCAACGGAGCAGCGCGGGGGAAATTAAACCTGGAGTTTGGTCGCAAAGACTCATTGCTAAAATCGGGAAGGAAACCCTGACCCATTGGGGCTTGGAGGACAGGAGGTGACGGATGTGCGTGTGGCCTTGCTGGTGGCCGTGGCCTAGTGAGTGGGGTGTGTTCTCATCCCCACGCATCAAGTCGTACATGTGAAACACGTACATCTTTTACATGCGAATTATACCCATGGCTTTAAAAGAATCCACTGGCAACAGCATCAAAAAGTACAACTCTTAGATTAAATTTTTAAAAAGCAGTGCTAATCTTACGCTCTGACAACTACAAAACATGGAAAGCAAGCAAAAGGACCTACATCCATGGATCGGGAGACTATTTAAGATGGTAGCTGCCGCCAGATGCATCTGTTAGCTGCAGTCCCTACCGAACCCCCCGCGCTTGTCTGCGCACGTTGGCAAGAGGACGCTCCTGCACTTTCACAAAGAAATTCGAGGGGCCTGAAGCCGCCAAGACCATCCAGAAACAGAAAAGCGAAGTTGGGAACCCCGCTTCCGGACTTCAAGACTTAGCAGAAGCCCCAGGAGCGACGACCGTCCGGCACCGCGGCGCACGCGCAGGCCGGGCCCCCGGAGGCGCTGGAGCCTCCCGGCCGCCGGGGGCGCAGGCGCGCGAGCCCCGCCCCGCCCCGCGGAGAGCGCGTCTCCCGGCAACGGCGG